TAGGGCAAAGAAGAAGCAAGCATCAGGTACGTGTATTTAAGAATGTATGTGTGATTATCACATTGTTGTAAATACGCATAATAAAAATTCAATAAACCTAAACATATGAACATATTTTCCTGATATATTTTAATTATATCAGGGAGTAAAATATGCTATTAAAGAAATTGAATTATGATATGCTTAGACTACAATTAATAAAATAAAAAAATTAAATAAAATTTCGGTTTTAGGATTCGAACGTATAGGCTCGTATTTGGATTGAGCTTAACTCCTTCACGCTTACGACCTAAGCCACCTCAAAAGTGGAAACGCGGCCTCTTAGCCATCGTTTTATTGTTATCCTTTGCTCAATAAGCAATTGCTCACGCAACGCACATACATTAGTTGGAAAACTAGCCTATTAAATGTATATTTTATTATGAATTCTGGGGTTTTTACCGATTATACAGATTTTTAATTCAAAAGGCTTTTCATAATTATAAATTTTGTCATATAATTGAAATTGAAAACATAAATCTAAATAGGTATGCGCAACGATTTTTCATTTAGGAATATTCGTTGTGTCTATTTATAGCATTTCGCACATGGCGTGGTGTATTTTTATTTTCGAAGTTATATTTTTCGATGTTCCTCATCTGGATTACAAATTAGTACAGAGAATGTTAACGAATAGAGAAGGAGAAATGTTAAATGAAATCTTTTATTTATTGAATTTTTTTTTTATAGCGTATTTACACAAATGTTAATCACACATACATTCTTTAATACACGTACCTGATGCTTGCTTCTTCTTCGCCTTGTCTCGCTTGCTTTTTGCGAGTTGAACGATCGCAGGCAAGGAGGATTGGGACGCACTGCCACATAATTATTTCAGATATATATTTATTTATCGAATTTACTTTAAAAACGAATATAGGTATGAATTTATTTGTATTTATATTGTTACGTATCTATTAATTATATTACGTCAATAAGTCATAATGCATTAGTATTTTTCAATACAAATTAAGCAGCATATTAATATATTAGAGCCCTCACTTGACACGCTTCTCTGCATGGTGGCAAGCCAACGAAATAACGGCGAGTTCTCGCGGACATTGTGTTGTTGAAAAACCAAATGACGACTTTGTCCACAAACATACATATGTATATACATACATAATACATACATATATGAGCTCGCATATATTGGCACCAAATTGTGTGAATTGTCGCGGAGTTGACAAAATTTGTTTCAATCGACAATTTTGCAACATGTCGATCGGCTATGTTGTCTCGTTAGTCCTTTTGCAGGGCTTTGCTGTTGCAAATTGACTTATGCTCTTTTGAAATGCTACGATTAACGATTGGTCTGCATTTTCAGAGCGTCGTTTTTAGATAAAATGGGCTAAATCGACAAACTATGAAATAATGATAATAAGTAAACATATAAAAGTACTATATGGAGTGTGCTTAGAGTATATAGAAGTAGTTATTGATTTCATATACATGTCAATTTTATATAATTTTTAATTTAATGCCATATATAGTGCATAATATGAAAAAATTAAATAATAATTTCAAATCGCTAAAGGTCATGTTGCCAATTCTCCTTTCTGAAAGGAACATCAGACAAATTCTTCAATTTATGATTTTTAGCATCGTTGCGAGTAGGCAGCTTGTGGGCAAAATACAAATGCGAGGGGAATGGTAGGATCTTCTTCAATTTTACGGAAGACATTCAAATTCAATTTCATTCATTTTTATTCTTGCGCATTTGCGGTAGGAATTCTATATGAAAACCAAATGTGGTTTACCAGGCGCACAGGAAAAATAGCGCGGCGCAGAGTAATGAACGACGCACTTTGCTTTGAAGCAGACGCACGTTCCTTATGAATGAATTTGTTGTCGTTGTAATATGAAATACTTAGAAATAAGCCGCGAGTTTGCTTGAATATTATTGGCCGATGATGGCGTCTACGTTTTTCTGTCACTTGCGCGAATGTTTGATTTTTTGCGAAAGACATATTGAGGTACATACATATGTACATATGTGTACATATATGCAAATATATTTGGACATGCGAATGAAGGAAGGCAATTTCAAGAATATTCACATCTGGACATATGAACATTTGAAGCAAGTAAACAACAATAGCTGTTTGAGTTCACAGATTAGACAAAATTACTTGAATATCGTCTGTGGTGCTGCTTGTATAGCACACTTCTCTATTGCAATGTGAAATATTTGCCTATGTTCAAATCCTATCAGATATTTTTATATACTCTTTTTATTTTTAACCTTTTTATTAAATGATATTTTATTCTATTTTCATATTATTTCCCTCATTACTTATATTTTCTTTTCATAAGTCAATTATTTTCCTTTTTATTATTTTAAGTTTTGTTTATGCGCATATCAAAGATCATCTGTGCATATGTGTGTATATACATTTTGCTTATAGAGTGGTGTAGTTCATTTCGTACCCTGATAGTTGTGGTGACATTTTATTTTCGAACTTGCGCGTTTTCGATGTTCCCTCCTCGTAATTAACATTTTAGTACAGCTAACATTTGCTCCTTTTCTATTGATTTACATTCTCTGTTAGTACTCAAAAAGATTTCATTTAACATTTGCGGCTTCTCAATTCGTTAACATTCTCTGTTTGTGCCTTCTCTATTTATTAACAATCTCTTCTTTCTCTAATTAATTTTTGTGGAATATGTACAGCGCCATCTTTTCGTGAAGTTGGACTGGTTTCCGCAAAACTCTTATTTAAAGCGCCATCTTTGGACAAATGTTGAGTGTGAAACAAGAGCAGAGAATGTAAATGAGTCATTTACCAGAGCAAAGTGTGAAATGCAGAGAATGTTGATTGGTTAATGTTGGAAACAGGAATTCGTCAGCATACAATAACAAGTAAAGGGACTTTACGAAGTGTCGTGAAGGCAGATTGGTTCCGGGTTTCAGCTGAGGAAACAGACAAGTGGGTAAGATCAATGCCAAATCGTATGTGCGAGGTTTTAAAACACCGCGGCTATCCAATAAAATATTGAATTTAATTTTTCTTTATAATTTTTAATACTTTGTGGTGCCTATGTTTACTTGTTCTTATACTAAAATATCGGTATCTCAAAAATTAAAATAGGAATATACATTTTTGTTGGTGCACTTTGATTTCAAGAATATAAAAAAGACTTTTACTTCACTTAAAAAAATATGTAGGGTGAACGCAGACTTTATTGGCTATGTGTATATTGGTTAATATGTAGGATATCTTAGAAAAAGTAATTGAACGCATGATATTGGATAAACTAAAGTTTACTGCCGAAAATACGTGAAATTATATTATATTACATTATACTACATAAAATGATTTTCGATATCCTTGCAAGCCTTATGCCGAATGCTTTATATAGTGATTTCGGACTTCCTACCTGTCTTTAAACTGTTAAGTTCAATTAAGTAAACAAGCTCTTTTAAAAATTATGAAGGTATTTCTTTGGCTTTCATTCTGGCAAGTTGCAATTCTTACTTGTGGTGTTTTGTTTATAAGCTAGTAATAACTAAAAAATGTTTGGTACTAAAATTAAATAAATGTGTAATTTAAATGGAGTCACGTTTTGACACATTTATTCTGAATTGACATTCCATTTATCTTAATAGATGTCGATGAAAGGTTCGTAAAATAAGTTTTGTCAATCGTGAATATTTATTTTTATTTTGATTAACGAAATTTATTTTATAACAATGCTAATTTTTCGACCCACCTGTTAATTGGTTTAATGAGTTCTGTCGGCGCGGTTATTTTCCTTTTACTTCTTCTGTTAAGGAACTAGGACAAACACTTTCTCATTCTTATTTGCCTTAAATTTTTTCAACAAAGATGGCGATACTTTAAAATATAATAAATTTGAATAATGTTCTAAAGATGTAAAGGTTTAGCATTCATTATATTGTGTTTATGAAAGAGTTATTAAACCATCGGCATGGCAGAAGGAGGCATTTTTTTCTTGTTTGCTTTATTCTTCATTCCATTCTTCGTGAGAGATTTCCGACCAGATAATTTCCCTTTGTTTATGTTATTTACTGGTGGTTTGGGCTTTGACATTTTTGGTTCAATGCGCACAAATAGATCATAATTGAAATCCATGCAGGCCTTTCCTGGGAATTATTCAATAATTAATCGTATTAATCAATTATTTATTCAAAAATGATATTTGCATACCACAACACATTTCTTGTCCGCATTCGGCACATGTTGCCAACTTAGTTTCTACAATGCCAGATTTATTTTTATTCTTTTTTATGCAATTATTAAGAATGAACTCCCTACGATCACGCATTTCAGTCTTCAATTGCAACTTGGCCATCTCCGTCATTCGACTAAAGTACTCTTCTTCTTGCTTAGACTTCGGGCGTAATGTAGTAAGCATCTTCCAATCGATTGGTACTGAGCATAAGTCCATTATAGTTACATCCTTCATTTCGGACGGTATAGGATCTGCGTATGTATAAATCGGTTCCCGCTCGCCATTATGCTTTAATAGTTTTCTGACCTCTTTCTTTGAAATCTTAAACGAGAAATCTTTCTCTTTAATCTTTATTTCATCTGCACGTACTTTGATTGGACGCATTTTATAATCGGGCACTTTTTCCATTAGCCGTTTAAATTCTTCTTTGGTCTGAGCGATGTTCTTACTTAGATCAAGTACAGGAACAACCGTTTTCTTCTTTGCTAATATATCTTCTAATTTACTCATTGTACAAAGTTTCAGATTTCTAAACAACTTATTTTCTCTGTCAATTTTTTAATTTTTCGGAGGTATTGATAAAATAATAACTGAGCATATTTGTAACCGTAGCGACACTTGTTATTAAACAAGCATGTCTTCACATTAGTAAGATAAATTCAATGATGCCACAAGTAAATAAAGGTCTAAGCATGAAAAGTTCATCAAAATTCAAAAATTGTAAGTTTGGCGTGGTACCGTAAAATTTCATATTTTACAATACGTTTGGAAGCTGGGAATAATTAGCTTAGCTTATATAAAAAAATTTATGAAATTTGCCCCCTCTCTCGTAGAAGGCTGCGTCCCTATTGGCAAAAAACTCGGAGAGCCAATTTTCACAGGCCTCGCTCGAGGCCAACTTCTCACCATTAAGCGCGTTCGCCATGGACAGGAAAAGATGGTAATCACTTGGTGCCAGATCCGTACTGTAAGGTGGGTGCATTAGGACCTCCCATCCGAGCTCCCGGAGCTTCTGGCGCGTCCCCAAAGACGTGTGTGGCCTGGCGTTGTCTTGATGGAACACAATTTGGCCTCTGTTGATCAAAGATGGCCTCTTCTGGATGAGTGCTGCCTTCAAGTGGTCCAGTTGTTGGCAGTAGGGGGCCGAATCACTTTTGACATGATGCGACACATAACACTAGTTCTTTGGACAATAACGCTATCTCTTAGATAAAAACCAACTTTTTACTTGACCTCATATTATATCAATTTGTATATACTATTCACAATATTGAACATAAATTTTTATAGAGATTGTTATACATATATCCAAATTATATTTCTTTTCTCCTTATACTATTTAATTTCTATCATACATTTATACAACACAATAAAACATTTATATAATAACAAATTATACATATAACTTCAATTTTCTTAATTAGAATATTTACATATTTTTCTTAAAATTGACTTAAAAACTACTGTCAAAATTGCTATACCATACTAATTCGATTATATTTGAAAAATGAAGAACGATTGTACTAAGTCTGAAAACTTTAGTTCAAAATAGAGACACAAATACCGTCATGATAACTGTGTACTGTCTTAAAAGTAATTGCATTAAAATTGGAAGGATCCATGTTTGAAAATGCCCAATCAATTTGTGTACCGGCAGGTGTAGTTAAATATTCTTCACTAAGTTTCTTTCTTGGATCAGATTTTCTATTGTAGTCCCTGTAGACATTAAACAAATGTTAAAATATCCAACAATTAGCACATTTTGATTGCATAATTCAAAAGTAAGGATTTCCTGAAGTTCTACAATTAAATGTCTGACAGAGAAAGCTAAATTTCTGTATAGAACCAGAATATTAATATGCTTTTTTCCGTGCTATCTATCCTCACTCGTTAACTGGAGTAAATCCTGGTATATCCGCTAGGATAACTCCAAGTTTCTACAAAACAAGATAGCATCAAACAGTCGCTTTTTATATCATTAATATGAGCGTGAAGACTTTAAACATTATGGATTAAAATTTAATGTCCTGATGTTCGGAAAATCATAAAATTGAAACTTGTTGTTAGAGCTTTATTAGTCTTAAATTCCCTCAGTTTCCTAAATACAGGATCCGATTTAGAAAATTTGTTAGGAGGAATAATGAATTCCTATGATGAATAGGCCATCCGCAGTAGAAGCTCGACTACAAGTGACTTATATTGAAGCTCTATGTTTAGCTCACTGTCATCATATATTTGCGGAGGTTTTTAGTGTCAATTCATAGGGCAGTCCCTGCGTTTCAGAAGTTTTGAAAAGTTTAACTCTTTTCAAAATATTCTCATTTTCACTTATACCAATTCCTTTAACTAAGTCTTTTGCAGTTGAAAGGATAGCTTCAGTTGAGATTCAACTGAGCTTAAGGGCATTGAAATTATTTATATCTTCATTGGACCAAAATAAATTTATGGCATCATCGGATGATCTTTTAAGGAACTTGGATTGGATCCAGGTGTAGAATTGTAACGATGGTTAAGAGCTTGATATATTGCAGATATCAAACGGCTCTTTTCTACACCTGCACCGCCGCCAATGAACTCATAAAATGGGCGATTTGTTTTTAGCTGGTGCGTCAAATGTGTCAAATAGGTTCTTTACTAAGTATTTACACTTTAAACTAAGGAAAATAATTCCTCAACTGGAATTAAGGAGGGTAGTTTTATAAGTCTAATATTGCAACAAGATTCAGTGCCGTTATCTGTTGAATCTTCACCATGCAAGTCCTGCAAATTTATAGTTGGGTTTATTTCTGGAAGTGCCAACACTCTAAACTCATTTTCCACGATAGGTAGTTCATTTTGAGCACCTTCCTCTAAGTCTATTTCATTATAAAGACTTTCTAGAACATTTAAAGTTCTCTTTGCTCAAAAACAGCATATTTTCTTCGATTTTCCTCAATTAGAATACGATGTGTTATGCAAGTTTGCTCATTATCGCTTTCAATGGGATCTTTCTGTTCAATCCGCCATGAATAGTAAAGCATTACCTTTTCGCGGAAATATTCAACTCTGGCCAAATCTGGGTTAAACCTTCTAGACCGAATTATACAAGGTTTGGTACGTTTTTTAACAAAACCGCTACCGTCTTTAAGAGGCATGACAATCCCGCTTTCTGGTTTCCTTGGCCTTGTGCTCTTCTACTAGGTTTCCAATATTTATACTTAGATGCATAATCAGCTAAACAAAGAGTTGTTAACTGATCAGATCTTTGAACATAAGAATCTAAAATACCAGCTACGAAAATATCAGTCGAGCCTTAAGGAAGGTTCTGAAGTTCCGCTCTAGGTTTTACCATTCGAACACGTTCCTCAGGTCGAGAGATATTTAACAATATTTCTGCATTACTTGCTTCCGAAAGATGGAGCCCAATGCAGCAATACACTGCTTCGTGTGCAGATATTTCTGTGCCTGATATAAATTTGTGACCTATATGTTTAAGTTCTTGCTTAAGAGTATAATATAGCTTCATTTAAGAACGTAGAACTTTCCCTGTTAGACTTCTAATTATAATTATTTACATATGAACAGCAAGCATTTGCATCTAGTATATATTGGATATCCATATTTGCTCTAAGGAGTTCCAAATTCAGAGGTTTATAAGCGTTTATATTGTAATTATATTATAAGCGTATTCCCACGTATCGTTTACCTCAGAGCTAAGTCCAGGCGGTCAAGAAACCTTTTGGGACAATATTCCTGTAGAAAACTTGGACTATAACCGTTTAGTTATAGCGCCAGGTGAAGGACAATTGATCTAGTTCAAGATAATAATTCAGAAGAGTTGTCGTTTGGAAAAATATATGTTGAGCAGAAACGTAAATGCTCTGAAACATATAGCAAGATAATATGTTCTGAAAGTCGCCGTTTTGACAGAAGAGCGTGTACCACTCCTTAGTTGTTCTATGATTACAAAAAATTAGAACTGCTACAAATCAAGAACAGTACATCCATTTGCCTTAGAAAGGTTTTAGGTCGCAACCGAGTTTCGGCCCAAATTTTATTAAACGAAACTTTGTTCAAAACTTGATTCAACACGATGATGGTTACAAGGTTTTGAAAGGGGTTAGATCCTCTCCTGCGCACTGGGAAGCTGAGAAGAAAAAGGCAATGGCTATGATTCGTCAATTTGGGCTTCCAATCTTCTCTATCACTTTATCGGCTGAAGAATCTCAGTGGGTTGAGCTGTTGGTCATCCTCTCTAAAAACTGTTGATTCTAAAGATATTTCGAAAGAGGAAGCCAACAGTTTAACAACCCAAGATAGATATCGCTTCATTCGGTCAGACGCGGCTACTTGTGCTAGATATTTTGACTACCGCTATCGACAAATTCTTAAGCTTTTTAAAGATAATGGCGGCATTTTTGGAGAGCATTTTGTCACAAATTTCTACTGGAGAGTCTAGTTTTAAGAGAGAGGTTCCTCGCATGTACATGGCATGTATTGCTTGATGTCATTAGTTTTATTGACAATTATATTTCTACAGATGGTTCGGTCAGCCACTTAGAAAGTTATTTGGGTTATCAAAGACCCAAACCATAGCCATTCTTGTACTAGGGAAATAAGAGTACAACAGTTTTGCCGTTTTGGTGTACCATATCCACCGATGCCTTCAACGCAAATACTGTTACCTATTAGAGAAACACGTCAAAATTCAGAAAGACACAAGGAAAACATTTCCAAAATTCAATACGTTTTAAATTCAAATATGACTACAGAAGACATTTCTAATTTAAAAGATTTTGAACATTTCCTGTCTGATAGTAGAATAAATATGTCTTTTGATGACTATTTGTTAGCCCTTAGATCAAGTTTATCAAAACCCAAAACTTTTCTAAAACGAAAATTACAGGATCGTTTTATAAACGATTATAATCCTTTGATTTTGGAACTCCATAGAGCATTATATTAACAAGTCTAACAGGGGAAGTTCTAGGCTCGTAAATGAAGCTCTTAAGCAAAATCGTAATTTATATCAGGCACAGAAATATCTGCATAAGAAGTAGTATATTGCTGCATTGGGCTCCATCGATATACAAATCAATATAATATTATAATTTTTAAAGTTGTTAATATTTATAATTTTTAAGCTAAAAAGTATTTTCCTGTTTATACTTATTTCGATATAATAAATAACAAATTTTATTCATTGTCGAAAAACGATTTCTTTCCATACTCCTCAATGCAGTTGTAATGCATTCTATATAAAATCAGACATAAGCGTATACAACAAAACACAAAAACGATTTCTCATAATTTGAGTAAATTTAAGTGAATGTAAATAACTGAGGCAACAGTTCTACTTCCAATTATTAAAATATATTAAGAAATCTCAAACGAGTATACCATTTGACTTTGCGAGAGTATAAAATGTTCGGTTATATCCGAACTTATCCCTTCCCTACTTGTTTATTTATCATTTAGAACCAAAAAAATTTGATGTATCAGAAAAGCTCGAAAAAAGCAATCACACTTGGGAGATTTTGTCTCATTAGTATTAGTATTACCACCGCGAACACCTTGACGTGGTGTAGCGGCTTAAGTCACGAGTCATTTCGATCCCTCCCA